ATATACATACATATATCCCCTAAGCCCTGTATTTGTGTTTGGAATCCCATCTGCGAATGGACTTCCCTTGTGTCCAGTAGCCTCTTTGGTGGCCTAGTGGGTAAAGAGTTGCACTACCACCCCAAAGGCCAGCGGTTCGAATCCACCAGCTGCTCCATGGGAGAGAGGCGGCCAGTCTCCTCCTATGAGATTAACATCCTCTGAAAACCCGCTGGAGGGTTACCTATGAGTCCCTTCTGCCTCAATGGCAATGAGTTAAGTTGTTGAGTCTTTTATGAACAAATGGGCCTTTTGACCCATCTTTTTGTGGAGTGAGGTCTTAACATAGTCTACATGGTTAACTGGAGAATCCAGAAACGTCAGTGTGGAAGCTGTAAGTTTCCGTGAAATGCTTCCTATCCCCTCAAAACAAAAATTAATATATTGATAATAACAGACAATCATAAACTTTTCATAAAGAGGGAGAATGTCGTTTCCAGGCCGCAAAGATAAAGATCATGTTTACAGAGCTATAGATGATAATAAAAAGTCAATTAAGGATGAAAAGGGGAAAAAAATAGCAATTTCCAACCCCCAAAGACTTAACGTTCAGATGATAAAGACAAAGGTAATAAGAGTGCAAATGGGGAAAGTTTCCAACCCCGAAAGATAAAGGTGAAAATGAATAAATAAAGATCGGCTCAGCTCACTGGAATTGAGAAGGTTCCCATTCTGCTGACCCTCGGGGATATTGGAGGCTGTAAATCGCACCGGACGAGACTGTGCATCTGGCTCCTGCAGAGCTGCTGGTAAAGTCAATCTGCCAGAGGTTTCTGACTTAGCAGCGTTGCTCCCACTGGACTCGGCCACCCTAGAGCTCCCTTTAATAAAGGCAGTAAGAAAATAAAAAAAAATTAAAAAAAGTAAAGATTTTCCAATTCTCAAAGACAAAAGATCAGATTTATGAATACCAATCAAAGGGAGCCCTGGTGGTCTTATCTGTAGGTAATTGTGCTGCTAACCCGAAGGCTGAGCCTCCGGCGGTTCAAATCCACCAGCAGCCCCTTGGGAGAAAGAGAGGCAGTCTCCTGTGTGATTTACAGCCTCCCAGAGCCATTGGAAGGGCAGCGATGAGTCAGTTCTGACTTGAAGGCAACGAAAGACCAATAAAAGCAATAATAAAGACTAAAAAATGAGGTGATTTTTTAAAAAATTGACATCAGAACTGATATACCACAGAGACAGAAGGGGAGCCCTGTTGTAAATTGGGGATTGCCTCTGTATTCGTGCCAAGTGTTTCTTGGGCCAATCTGTTGCACTGTGAAAGGACAAAGGGTATAGATGGGAAAGAGTTGCCCCAGCATGTGAAAGTGACCCCGAATTCAAGGAACAGAGATGGAGAGGAGACGAGGATGTCTCCCCAGAGTTGCCAGAAAAAGCCTTCTCCTAGAGCCAATACCTTAAATTTAGACTTCTGCCTGCATAAACTGCAGCAACGAATTTCCATTTGTTAAAACTATCCCCTTACATCCATTTTCATGATATTTTTGCATTATATTATTGAGAGCTTAAAAAACAAACAACTATTCCCTTGGTGATAGTTCTGTGGGAACAGCACTATCTCATTTAAAAAAACACCTCATTGCTATCGAGTGAGACCCAACATAGACCTTCCAATGAGTTTTCAGAGGCCATAAATCACATGGGAGGAGATTGCCCAGGTCCCACAAAGCAGTTGTTGGATTTGAACTGGGTGCCTTGGGTGTTGGAAGCACACCTCCCTATCCACTCGGCCACCAGATCTCCCTGGTAGCACCAGTATATGTAACAAAATAAATGGGGGCCCAGGTTGTGGGGGCTCCCCCACCCTCCACCCCATCACTCGGGACCATCACCTACCTGCAGAAGAGCCAGGCTCGTGGATGCTGTGGCAGGGGGGACCGGGAGCCGGGGGCCGGGCCAGGGCTGTGAGCTGGTGGAAACGGGCTAGTGGGCAGGGGTCTGGACACCCTGGGAGGCTGAGGGTCAGTGGCAGCCTGGAGGAATCATTGCGGTAGAAGAGGGAGATGGTGACATTCCTGGTGTGGGAGAGAGGAAAGAGAAGGTGGAGAGAGTCAGGACTTAACACTCACCCCCACACACACACACTCCTACCCTGGGGAGACAAGAAGACAAAACCAGAGCTCCTGACTTCCACCCCTCAATGTCCTAACAAGCAGACTGCTCTCCAAACTGCAGCTCGGGCCACTCCCTCTCTCTGGCACACACCACGCCTTTTGCGTATTCTGCCCAGCCTTTGCCTTCAGTCTCACCCATTCCTTTTTTTTTCTTCTGTTTTTAAACTAATTTTCATGAAAATTAACAAAGACTTCGGATTTCTAGTCATTCATTGTTGCACTTTTCTCCCTGCCGAGCCCCTCCCCCCCATTCACTTTTCTCCTTGATAAGTAAAAGAAAAATTTGTTATTTGCTATGCAATCCCTCCCCCCAAGTCCATTGCACTGTGCAGCCTTCATTCTGGACTCCTGTCATGACAATAATACCTAATCATATATCCCTTTTAAACAGTTCTCTCCCTCATATGTTGCAATGCAGTAAACATCATTCCTCCCCTTCTCTGTCTTCCCTCAACCTCAATGTCAGACCCATTTTACAATAGTGTCCCTATGCAATATTTGTTCTTTTGTAACTGAGATATTTCACTCAGCATAAGGTCATCCACTTTGCATAATATTTAATGAGTTCCTTGTTTTTCAAAGCTGCATAGTATTCCATTGTGTGAATATACCACAGCTTCTCTATCCATTCGGTTGTTGATGGGCACTTGGGTTGTTTCCAGCTCTTTGCTATTGTGAACAAAGCCACAATAAACATGGGTGTGCATATATCTGCTTGGGTGGTGGTTATGGTTTCTTTAGGGTAAATTCCCAGAAGTGGAATTGCTGGGTCAAATGGTATTTCTGTTGTTGCGGAGAAACTGGAACCCTTATTCACTGTTGGTGGGAGTGTAAAATGGTGCAACCACTATGGAAGGCTGTATGGTGCTTTCTCAAAAGGTTGCAAAGAGTCTCGCCCATTCTCCTCACCCTCCATCTTCATCCGGATCCCCAAGGCGACTCTGGAATTCGAAGCCCAGGCAGGCAGCGTAAGGCGGGATGTGGCCGTCGTAGAGACCCAGGGCTCCCTGGAGGGCCAGCAGGGTGCTGTCGTGCTGTGGGTGGAGCCTCAGCTGAGACCGGCTGCTCTTCTGATGTCCCCTCCCCCTGAAACGTGATCCGTCCCCACGCCTCCCCCTGCTTCCACCTGGGACAGGTGATCTTTACGTAATGATAGGGTGAAGGAAAAGGGACAGGGAATCAGCTCGGATTCCTCCATTCAGAGGAAGTTTCAGGGTTCTTTGCCCCCCAATCTTCGTGATACCATTACCTCCCTCCTGCCAGAGTCAAAACCTCTAGTGATAGAATCAGAAAGTAGGGTCTTAACCCTAACCCAGACCAAGGGGCTGCGGTCCCACGGGCATCACCGACTTTTCTTCACTCGGACCCATTCCCTGGGACTCACAGCCGAGTACATAACCATCTTGAGGGGCAGCCCCAGGCGCTGGACCCGAGAGAAGTTGGCTAGGATCGCATCCAGCAGGATTCCTGAGCGAGTGGGAGCAGAGCTTTGAAAACAAACCCCCCCAAAAAACCCCAGAGAAAGGCACCAAGCCTTCCCACCTCCCGGCTCCCCCATCTCACCCCCTGACAGCTGAGCCTTCTCTGCTGCCCGAGGTGGGCCCACGTGGGCCCCGATATCCAAAGCCGAGATCCGGGCCAGAGTTTCCAGGACATCCGGGGAGGCCCAGGAGGGGAGGGGGAGACCGTGGGCTTGCTGAAGAGAGAGGGAAAGAGCAGAGACCAGGCATCTTTGGTTCTTTGCTGCCCCCCACCACCACCACCCCCCAGTGCCCACAGAACCCCCGTTAGTCGTATGTGCTGGTGTGTCTCCCTAATTCTCTAAGGATGCCAAGGATAGGGCCGGTTCAGATCTGATGGGTCGCTATAAGTCATAATTTGACAGCACCTAACAAAAACCGCTCTGAGCCTCTCACTAACTGGTCGGATAATTAATGGGGTCATAACCCCCAAAACAAACACATTGCCAAGTGTATTCCATTAAAAAACCTTGGGAAATAATAAAATAAAATAAAATAATTAAAATAAAAATACAATACAATAAAATAAATAATAAAACAATACTATACAGTAGATCATAAAATAAATAAAATAATCCCCAAAATGAAAAACTCTCTGCCATCAAACTGGAACCGACCCACAGCAGACTCTCCAGCGGGTTTTCAGAGGCTGTAAATTGCCTGTCTTTTTTTCTATGGGGCCACTGGTGGATTTGAACCCCTATAAAGGTGCAGCATTTGGATTAGCAGGACAAGTCCCTACCCACTAAGCCACCAGAGCTCCGTGAGCCATAAAGGGACGTGCAATTGAACAAGATAACGTTTTTAAGGCATCTCAAGCGACATGGTCCATTTGAGAGCTCTTGTGGGCTAGTCTGTTGGCCACATCTCTCTGGCAGTTCGAATCCGCCAGCAGCTCGGTGGAAGATAGATGGGCCATCTCCTCCTGGGCACTTTCCAGCCTCAGAAATGGAGGGTCAGCTAAGGAGTCCGTTCTAGCCCAACAACAACGGGCTTCAGCTTGAGTGCGTTTGAGCCTGTAGTTTAAAATCTGCTACATGCATCTGATACAGGCCATGGTCTTTGCAATCACTTGTTATGCATCAGAGAGTTGGACAATGACTAGGGAGGACAGAAGGAGAATTGATGCCTTTGAGCTGTGGTGCTGGAGAAGAGTATTGAGGGTACCATAGTCTGCCAAGAAAACAAACTGATTTATCCTGGAGAGGGTTAAACCAGGCTGCTCCTTGGAGGCAAGGATTCTGGGGCTTCGTCTGACATACTTTGGACATGTTGTAAGGAGGGACATGTCCTTGGAGAGGGACATCATGCTTGGGAGGGTGGGGAGACAGCGCAGGAGGGGAAGGCTCTCTATGAGGTGGATTGATTCAGTGACTGGGGTAATCGGGATGGGAGTGTCAGAGACGGTGCGATTAGCACAGGACAGAGCAGAGTTTAGGGCTGTTGTACATAGGGTCGCTATGAGTCGCAATCGACTTGACGGCACGTAACAACAACAACAATACAACACGCCCTGAGGGAGAAAGATGGGCAGTGTCCTCCCTGCAGAGTTCCAGCCTCTGACATCCCCCTGCAGGACCTGGGAATGGGAGCTCACTTCACTGCAGGAGGCTATGGCTGGCCTGTGTTGTTGTTGTTGCTGTTTGCCATCAAATGGGAACTGAATCAAAGCTGACCAGTAGCTCCTAGCTGACCCTCCGGGATATTTTCAAAGGCAGATAATTGCAGGAGAGGAGACTGCCCACCCTCGTCCTCTGGAGCAGCTGAGGGATTCGAACTGCACGCCTTTGTGATTGCAACACAGCTTCTTACCACTAGGATGCCAGAGTTCAGCAGCGATGGTGATCGACCAGATAGTGGGATTGCTGGGCTGCTAACTTATTCAAATCTATCAGCCTCTCTTGGGGAGGCAGGCTCTTCCAGGGGAAAACTAACTTCCTAAGACTTACAGCACTGGGCCACTGTGAATGGACGATAAAGGACCCTTCCCTTCGCAACAGCTCAGCTGGCTTCAATGCTATCTGCCACCTCGTTTTGGGTTTTGGATGATGAAACTTGTGGATTGAAAACAATGCCCCCCTGAAGTCCTTAGGCCCTCAAGCACTGCTCTAAATCCACTGTGTGGATTAATCTTTTTGATGTCCACAGCCACCCCAGGAGATCACAGACTTATCACCATCATCTCTCTTGCCCAGATGGGGGAAACTGAGGCACGGGGCAAGGAAAGTGGTTTTAAGTATCAGTAACTCCCACATCTAGTGCCTGGCAAGACTGGGGCTTGAACCCAGGGACCCTGCACCACTCAGCCGGGAGCAGGTCAAGACTCACCTGACAGTTGAGCGTGTCTAGAACCTTCCACGCTCTGCGGAGCGGCTCTCCCACCAGCGACAGCCCCGTGAAGTTGCTCAGACGTGTGAGGAAGTCCTGGAGGTGCCCACCCCCGGGGAAGGCGTCTGAGTGAGCCTCAGAAGTGCACTTTAGGCCTCCCCATTCCAGCCCCACCAACCCCTAAAACAAACCCCCAATCCCAGCCCCAACCCGCTCACCGTCCATCCTTCCAGTGCGGCCTGGTACTCAGGGGCCTCCGTGGCCTCACGAAGCAGCTCGTGGTAGCGGGGACAGCTGCGCGTCGGGAACCGCAGGAGCTGGAGGTGGGGCGGGGAACCGGGGCTCAGAGAGGACAGCCCTGGGTCTGGGATCCCACAGAAACCAGAGTTCATGGGCCCTTGTCTCTCTTCCACAGTCTCAAGAAACCCCCTCACAGTATAGAGAGAAATGTGTGTGTGTGGGGAAAAATCGTCCCTACAGTTGTGGGGGAAGGACATCGTAGCCAGTCATGTTCCACCTAACCCCTGGCAAAGAAGCTGACCAAAAGAAAAAAAGACTAGAAAGTGAACCCTTTTACAAATATCCTTCATAGTCAACAGTGTGATCAACCCAGCTCATTGCCAGTGGATGGGACTGGCTCATCTGACTCTCCACTGGGCTTCTTAGGTTTCTTAATCTGTCATCGACAAGTTACACAGGAGGAGATTGCCTCCCGAGGAGTTGCTGGTAGATTCGAGCCACCAGGAGAGCAGTCTTGGGATTAAGCAACACAGATCGCACTGGACCGCACCATCAGAGCCCATATATCTTAGATACCGTGGTCAGAAGGACTTTCTTAAGCAATTTTAATGGGTACAGTGTGCATTGATTAACCTTTCAAACAATGAATGAATAGTAAAAGACTAACTTTTCAAAATATCCTGCACTAATGGAATATGTTGTTGTTGTTGTTGTGTACCGTAGAGTCAGAACCGACCCACAGTGGGTCCTCTGGTGGGCTTTCAGAGGCAGCTAATCACATGGGAGGAGATAGTTCATCCTTCTCCCACAAGGCGGCTGGTGGATTCAAACTGTGCGCCTCTGAGATTGCAGCACAGCTTCTTGCCACTTTTTTAAGAACAACAGGTTTGTCCTGGAGAGGGTGAAACCGGGATGTTCCTTGGAGACAGGGATTCTGAGGCTTCATCTGACATACTTTGGACATGTTGTAAGGAGAGACCGGTCCTTGGAGAGGGACGGAGAAAGAAAGGGAGACCATCGATGAGATGGATTGATTCAGTGGCTGGGTTAATGAGGATAGGTGTGTCAGAGACAGTAAAGTTGGCACAGGATAGAGCAGGTTTCAGCCATTCTGTACATAGGGTCACTGTGAGTCACAAGTCACAACAGTACATAACAACAACAATCTTAAAAGGAATAAAAGCTTTCTATTAGTATAGCACAAACAGGTTTGCCCAGGAGAGGGTGAAGCCAGAATGCTCCTTGGAGTCAAGGATTCTGAAGCTTCGTCTGACATACTTTGGGCATGTTGCAAGGAGGGACTGGTCCTTAGAGAGGGACATCATGTTTGGGAGAGTGGAGGGACAGCACAGGAGAGGAAGACCCTCGATGAGATGGATCGATTCTGTGAGTGGAGTGGTGGGAATGAGTGCATTTGAGACGGTGAGGTTGGCACAGGATAGAAAAGTGTTTAGGGCTCTTGTACACAGGGTCGCTAAGAGTGGCAAGTGACTCAATGGCACATAACAACAACAACAACAACAACAACATTAGTATAGCAGGGTAACAAATGAAGGTTTTGTTAGTCTAACAGGGTAACTAACGATAGTTTCCCTGTCAAATAAAAGCCCTTTTTACAGACAATTGCTTGTAGGGTCCTGTAATCTGTAGCCAAGAGTTATTCCCTTTGAGTCATGGATGGTGCCAACGATCTCCAGAACAGCTATAAGACGGGACCAATTAATTCGAATACCTGGCCCATGCAGAGACCTAAAACTCAGTGCTGTGGAGTCGGAACGCACTCATGACTGACCCTCATTGGGTTTCTGAGGTTGGAAATCACACAGGAAGAGATTACCCATCTTTCTCCTGAGATGCCGCTGACCGGATTGAACTGCCAAAGAGGCTCCGCGCCCCCCCCAATAAGCTATTACCACCAGAGAGGAGCTGAGATACTGTGAGAAATGTGCTTACACTCCACTGTCCTGCCCCTTCCCTTAAAAGGGGAACCTAGATGGAGAGACAGACAGGGGAAGCCCTTATCCCCTGCTTCCTGAATTGCTGTGACCTGAGGTGCCATCAAATGAGAACCAACTCGGAGCTGACCCTCCAGTGGGTTTTCAAAGATCACACAGAAAGACAGTGTCCATTTCCCCCCACAGCCCAATCGGTGGATTTGAACCTCCTGCCTTTGGGATGTCAGTGCAACTCCTTACCACTAAGCCACCGGAGCTCCATGCCTCCTGTATACTGGTCTATACTAAAATGCCTGTCACCTGGCTCCGAGATTGGTTTTTTTGATGGTAGACCGAAAGTTTAACAGCAGAGACAGGCTGGAGGAGGGATAACTCTCCCCTAGTGGACAGTCCAGGTGAAAAGGTCCCAGAGCCCCTGCTCCAAGCTTCATTTTTTTGGCTCTCTGTCCCTCTGTCTCTTCATCTCTCCTTCTCTCTCCATCCCTCCCTCTCTCCTCCAAGTCCCCTCCAGTCGCTCACCTTGTCCTCAGCGGAGGGCACTGTGTGCACCGGGATTGGCATCCAACTGGACTCGGGGGTCCCCGGGGCAGCCTCAGGAAAGAGCCCAGCGAGGTTGGCCTGAGCACTTTCCAGCGTCCGGTCAAAGTCAGTGCTGCGAATGTACACCTGGGGGGTGGGAGAGGGAGAGGGGCGGTGGGGCCCCCGATGGGAGCCTGAGGTCCTGAGTGCTGGGAACTAAGGCTCTGAAGCAATTTGGTCATGACTAACCATGACAGAGAAAGACCTGAATTTTTTAAAATCTGGGTGTTCTAGAACTTAACCAGAACAGGAAAATGACGAGTCAAAGCTCTGGAATGGGAGGCTTATAAGTGAGTCTTTCAGGATGGTAGAAGCTGGGCCATCAGCTGCTGCCTTTGCATCTGACATCCCGGCTGTCTGCAGCAGCCGTCTTTGAGACGGGCATCGTTGTTTCTGACTGGACGCAAAATCCAGTTGGTAATAAGCAGTGCCTACCCCGCCCTTGTTATCTGTGAGAAAGATTAAGTTACAAGCAGGGTTTCAACTTTTAATTCTTCTTATTCCTCTTATGCTTCTAATTCTCCCAAATTTTTAGAAATTCAACTCTGTTCTGGTTTTGCTTCCTCGGCCATGACTGGCCTGGGAAGAGTCAGAGGAAGTGGTTTAAAGTCCTAAGGCAACCCAGAGGCTTGGATTTCATCTTTGGGTTCAATTATTGAAAGTCATGAGGAGGAACTCTAAGAGTCAAAACTCAGGATATGTTCTAGTGTCATCAAGGTGTGAGTTGGGAATCGAGGGTCAGAGGTCGATGTCAGGAGCAGCTGGGTTGGAGCTCAGAAGTTGGGCAAAAGTGGTCAGAAGTCTTCTTGAGTCAATGAAATGTCCAAAGATCCCAATTGGTGGAGGTTGGAGGTCAAGCTGAAGAGGGCAGATTGGCAGATGTGTGTGGGGGAGTCAGAGTTCAGTGCTTATAAGGGGTCAGAGGTCAGAGGTTGGGAGGACTCTAAATGAGAAGGTGTCAAAAGACAATAAATGAGATTTGGAGGGTTCTGGTGGCCTAGTAGTAAGGAGCTCCAACTACAATCCCAGAGGCGCACGGTTCGAATCCACCAGATGCTCTGCCGGGGAAGGAGGGACAATCTCCTCTTGTACCAGTCAGATCTGATTTGACGGTACACTCACACAAAAAAAAATAATTTTAAAAAAGACAATAAATGAGATTTTTTGAAGGGTAGAGGTCAAAGGCTGGGGTTCAGAAGGGCATTTTGAATTGATGAGGGTCAAAGGTCTGGGGTCAGAGGTGGTCGCTTTCTCAACAGCCTCATGCTCACAATGGGTCTCCCTGTTGCATCCTCTCAGTATTTCCCTTTCTTAGCATCCTCTCTCACACCTCACAGACTCCATACCAATGTAAGCATCATTTTACAGCGCACCAGGGAATCATACAAAAAAAATTAAATAAAATTTCATGAGAAGACTGATTTGTTGGGGAAGGATTGGGCAGGGAGAAAAGTGCAACAATGAATGACTGGAAATCCTAAGTCTCTGTAAACTTTCATTAAAATTAATTTAAAAAAGTGGCAAGACGCTGCACTGCAATCCCAGAGGTACGTGGTTCAAATCCACCAGATGCTCTGCTGGAGAAGGAGGGGGCAAACTCTTCCTGTACCAGTCAGATCTGATTTGACGGTACACTTAAAAATAATACAATAAAAATTTTAAAAAAATTAATAAGAAAAACTAAAGCAAAAAAAAGGAGGAAAAACAGTAAAGCGTAGTTTTAAAACTCCTCCGTTTAAAAACAAACAAACAAACAATTTCATGTGATTCGCTCTATTAAGTCATTAGAGTTACTGTTGTGATCGGAACCGAACCCTTGGCCTCTGGTGTCTCCGAGCACCGCCTGCGTGGCTTCAGATCATGAGACTCGAAGCAGTTCAGGAGGGTCAAGTGGATAAAAATTGGAGCTCAGAGGGCAAAGAAAGACAGGTTAAAGGAAAGAGAGTGGCAAGTCGAAATGGGTTTGTTGAGGGTTCGCAGGGCAGGTCCAGATAGTTCAGCCAGGGGTGGGAGCAGAAGGAGGGTCCCCAGAGGCACATGGAAATGTGTGGAGGTCAGAGGTGGGAGGTCAAGGGGCCAGATGGATGTCCCTGTGCCTCACCTCCTCCCTGCTGTACTCAGGGCTCAGAAAGCTCTTGTAGCGATTCCTCAGAAAGCGGCCCAGCTCCAGCTGCTGGCGGACCCCCTCCTGGGGACAGAGACAGGCCTCAGCCGACCCCTCCCCTCGCATCAGGCCCTCCTCTCCCTGCGCCCCCACCCCCATGCACCTCACCTTGGTCAGCTGGCCCAGGCCACGAGGCCACAGGGTGGGGGCCGCTTCCTTGTGCGGGTCGGTGGGGTAGGACACCAGGGGGGCCCTGTCACCATGGCGGAACACCTGAGGACAGGAGGGGTCAGGGAAGTGCGGGGGTGGGGACAAGGGGGGGCAGCACAGGGGGGCCAGGGACACCTCACCAGGGCCACGAACACCAGGGGTCCTTCGGCCAGGGCCTGGGTCAGGAGCAGCGGGAGCAGGAGTGGGGCGGCGGGGTGGCCCCTGGAGCCCGGCCCAGCCATTTGCACCCAGCAGACGCTGAGCTCAGCCCGGCCTGGGCCCAGGTGGGTGCTGGCTGCAGCTTCACCTGCCTATTACCTGCGTCCCGGGCCCCCAGAGAACACGTTCCAGCATGCCCTGCCGAGCAGGCAGCCTGCTCCCCACAGCACCCCAGCTCCTGAGTTTGCCAGACACAGAGGGGCAGCAGGGAGAGGGCCACAGGGACCAGCACCCCATGACACCCCATCTTTGAGTCTCCTGAGTCGGGAGACATGCAGAAACCAGCAAGGAGTGAACCGCAGCTCCAGCACCACACACAGCAGACCCAGTATCTGTCCACCTCCTGTTTCCTTGGGTCTGTTCACCCTTTTTTTGTTGTTACATGCCCTTACTTGCCCCTTAGACTTTGGGGTGCTTGAAGGCAATCCCTTTTTAAAATTATTCATACACATTTGATAACATTAATTGTTAAATATCATCAATTTGAAGCCAACTCATAGCTGACCCTCCCCCAGAGGGTGTTCAGAGGCTGCAAATAGCCCCAGAAAAGGCTGCCCATCTTTCTCCTGAGGAGCACCTGGTAGATTTGAACCACCTACCTTTGGGTTCCACCTCACTAGGGATGATAGAAGAAGAATTGATGCCTCTGAGCTGTGATGTTGGAGAAGAGTATTGAATATACCATGAACTGCTAGGAGAACAAACAGGTTCAACCTGGAGAGGGTTAAACCAGGAGGCTCCTTGGAGGCAAGGATTCTGAAGCTTTGTCTGACATACTTTGGACATGTTGCAAGGAGGGACCGTTGCAAGGAGGGACCGGTCCTTGGAGAGGGACGTCATGCTTGGGAGGGTGGAGGGACAGCACAAGAGAGGAAGACCCTCGATGAGATGGATTGATTCAGTGACTGGGAAATGGGGGTAGGTGTGCCAGAGACAATGAGATTGGCACAGGATAGAGCAGGGTTTAGGGCTGTTGTACATAGGGTCGCTATGAATGGCGGGTGACTCGACGACACATAACAACAACAGCTTACACTGGAGGAAATTGCCCATCTTTCTCCATCAGAACAGCTGGCAGATTCGAACCGTGCAGCTTTGCACTGGCAGTGCAATTCTTTACCACCACACCACCAGAGCTTCCTGTTAGGGTGCTGGAGCTCCCTAATCAGTGAGCCCTGATTAATGGGTGAAGCTGAGCTCTGGTGGAGGAGTCCGTAAGGAATAGAATTGCTGAGCTCCTGGTGGTGAGAATCTACCCACTGCTCCAGAGGAGAAAGATGGGCACTCACCTCCCTTTCAATTACAGCCTCTGAAAACCTCACAGGAGGGTCAGCTGCGAGTACCTTCCTACTGGACAGCAATGAGAGAGCCAGTGAGCGATGTAATTCCTTAATTACAATGTCAAATTAGCCTTTTATGGCATAGTGCCTTTCCATTCACCTAACTTAACAGTTTCTTTCTTT